TTGAAGCACAGAGGATAGTGATGCTAGAGCAGGGTGGTGCAGACCTGAGCCTCCTCGCAGCCCCTCTGTTTTCAAAGTGGTGCTATATAGCACTATTGAGCTGTTCCATGGCAGTACTGTTTTCTTAGCCATGCTTTATAACTGTTGAGCTGTTCGCACTGAAGATCCCTTCTTCACCACACCGATCTTATTGGCATTTGAATTGACACTGACCATGGGTTGACAACGTTTCCCCAGTGCAAGTTACTTTATAGAACGTGCAATAATTTATTTTAAACGCTGTTTGCATAGGGGATTTGGGCCAAAGTAAACTAGAGGCAACTGCAGATTTTCAAGTCCGGTTTTTGTAGGTAGAGCTAGTGAAAAGTTGTATTTAAGTAAAGTCATTTTAAAATAATACCAGAGCAACCATTCCGGAGGAGCTGTTTGCATGTCTCACTCTGAGAACCTTTGCAAATATTTGAACTGGGCAAAATAGCTTTTGGAGTGGGCCAAGCAATATTGTCTTACAAACAACTATAAAGCTAATAGAAAAGTAGGTATCCTGACCATGAAGACTGATTATGGACATTCTTTAAAATCCATAACCGGAGACATAGTGAGTCATAATCTTTTTGCCGGTGGAGTGTCTGGCTTCAGTGAAAACAGTATCTGTGAAGCACAGTAACACAAAGTGCAAGAAAATGATGTAGGCCTGAACAGCTAACAAGTAATACAGCTTGGTAACACCGGTAGAAAAGTCCTTCCTTCTATTCATACAAAAATTTTTCTTCCTTCTCTCATGAAAACACCATTGCCTTCACCCTGAAATTGGAACACAATTTGGGTTTCTGCCTGAATCTATGCTCCTGATTGCAATTCTGTGACCTGAAATAAATGTTTGTTACCTCTCACTTTGACTTATTCAGTGAACAAGCTGTTGATTATTCTGTCACCCAAAGAATTTATTTGGGAAAAATAAAGAATTTCAGTCTGTTGCATGTAGACTTGGTAAGCAACACGCACACACTGAACTGGACCAAGATGGAGAAGGAACTTAGAAAGGGAAGAGAAAGTTAAGGAGAGGGGCTGTTACACCCATAGAGCTCTGTTATTATGAACAGCGTTCTTCCTGTAGTTATGAGATGGCAGAGTACACAACCCCTCCCACTACCCCCAGCTTCTCCCAAAGACCCTCCTGATGGATTGTGTCTGGTTAAGTCTGTCATAATTTTTATCAAAGTTAATTTGGGGAAGGAATCAGGCAAAAACTGGGGGCCAGGACTTTGGGGGTGTATAGATTATGGTTTGAGTCAAAGCATGTCGTCCTCATTCATAAAATTCTGCTCAGTGTGCAAATCAGCGTGATGGGGCACTTAGCGTTGCATTTAATTTAGCACCTCCTTGGGTGATTGGCTATTGTGTATATTTGCTTCATTTACAACTTCTTAAGACTGAATGAAAAGGTGGCCTTATCTTGTTAAGTCCTTTGGGCATTGTCATTTAAAAAGTAACCAACATCATACTGGGGGAAAAGAAAAACGTCTTAAGGCACCATTTCTAATACGTTAAAATAACTATACGGGATATTTAAGAAATAAGTAAGGGGTCACTCCGTCTTCTATAAATGTTACCCTATTTTTAGCGAGAAAAAAATAAAATTTAGGTTGATCATTTTTCCTACATGTGTTTGTGGTTCAAAAATTATGCTTGGTCATTAAATAGATATGAAATCAAAGGAGAAGGATTTTACTCACCCCATGCTATTTACTGTTCATTTCATTGAAAGCATAAAATATTTCCAGAAATCACCCTGGCCAGTTGGTTGGAGCATTGTCCTGTACACAAAAAAGTTGCAAGTTCCATCCCTAGTAGGGGCACATACCTAGGTTGCAGGTTCAATCCCCAGTCCGAGCACATATGGGAGGCAACTGATCAATGTTTCTTACATAGATGTTTCTCTCTCTTCCTCTCTCTATAGAATCAATAGATGTATCCTCATGTGAGGATTTAAACATTTTTTTTTACAGAAATCATTATTTTAGTTACTAATTTTTCAGTTAAGACATGGAATATCATATCTCCTTCATATGGTTGTTGTGACAATTGAGTTAAATGACTGTACTCAGAACAGTGCCTGGCTTGTGGAGAGCTCAATAAATTATTTTTATTATCATCTTATTATAATTGAAAGCAAGATTTGCCTTCTTTCAGTTTCCCTGTTACTAAGCCCAGTTGCCTAGCATATAGGAGGTGCTCAATAAATATTTATCCATTGTATGAAATTCAAGCTTTCACCATTTACACTCAGAACTTTATTCAGTTCAAATGTGTTATCTGACCACCAGAGCTTCCTGTCCTCTTGCCTAATCTTCAGAGTCTCCTCTGCTTGAGTCCTGAAAACACCCCCTCTAAAGGAGCAGAACCCCAACTGGTTGACCTCCCACTTAGCTGGAAGGAGCAGATGAAAGGAATTTAATTTTTCCTCTAAATATCCTGTTTCTCAGAATATTATATTGTTTTTGTAGCACATTTGGTTATATAGGAGTGGGCAAAAGTAGGCTTACAGTTGTGAGTACACAAAAGTTTATTCTTGTATTTTTTTTTTATTACTTTCCATATGAACTGTAAACCTACATTTGCCCATTACTGTATATTTTAAAGTAGGGTTTCATTTTGTCTACCTTAAGACATGCAAAGTATTCTGGGATACTTGTTTCAGAATTACAAATGTAGTGTTAGCCTTTTAAAGCAATAGTTATCCTGCCAGTAAAATGAGTAAGTGCCTGAGATTGGTGAACAGGCTGCCTAAATCCTAATCCTGGCTCCACCATTTTATCAGCTGTGAGATATTGGACAAGCAATGCAATTTAACCACTCCCAGCTTCAAATTCTTCTCTTTAAAATAGGGATCAACCTTACTCAATTTGTGAGACAGTAACTGCAAAACTTCTAGAACCTACCCAGCTTACAGTAAGCTTTGCAGTGCATTATTTTTAGCTACTGCAGATAACCTAGACCAGTTCTCAAACTATGGTCTCTAAGCACAAAGTATCAACATCATCTGGGAACTTATTAGAAATGCATTGTTTTAACAAGCCCTCCAGTGATTCTGCTGCATGCTTGTTTGAGAACGACTGAAATAGACTAATTAGAATCCTACCAATCTCTCTCTTCCTTGTCAAAGAAGGAAAAAAAAACCCAGTAATATAATATTAAAATAATTAAGATATACTGAGGATTTAAAGTCTCAACTGATGGTTGTTGCTCCACTTCAAGGCCAACAGAAACCCCCAATTTAGGGTGCAGTGAAGAAGGAAACGTTGTTCAGCACAAACAGCTCAACTGTGATACAGCACAGCTGAGAGTAGCATGGCTGTGAGGCAGACCTGGGGCAAGGCCCCTCTCTGGCTAAACACTTCTGCTCCTGGAAGGTTGTGCTCTGCTTGCTCTGCGCACAGGTCTGCTTTGCGCTGTGCTGGTCTGTTCCACTCTGCTCCGGTGGGACATGTTCCATGTTTTATCTCAGCCAGACAGATACAGTCTTCAGTCCCGAGTGTAAAGGGGAAAGTACACTCACAGCCAGAGGGGAGCTACTGGACAGACAGCCCACCCCTGCTCCCTGATCTGTCCTTCCTCTAACAAAGAAATGTTAGAAAAGTTATCAGCAAGGAGACTTGGAAAATTTGGGGGGAACCTAATAAGCCTGTGGCAAACAAACAAACTTAACTGTGGCTTGTCTGCAAAGATGATACTATTGACCCAATTTTAGTTATTTTTATTAAAAATTATTTTTCATATACTTATAGCACTGGTTCATTCTTTCACTTTTATTTATGATTTGAGCAGGTGGCTGGTTTTGTGAGGTTAAGCAGAGAAAAAACAGCAAATTGAAGGGACTCCTTCAAGTATAGCCAATCATTACACAAGCTTGAATAAATATGGAGCAGGTAATACCTGTGAATTTTGAACAATGCAATATAGTATGTGTGGAAGTCTCTTACCTGATAGATTTCGTTCTACTCTCCAAAGTTACTGAGGTCCATCTGGTAAAGATTGTTTTTATAGAAAGGCTCCATTATCTTCATTTTGTTAAATGTTATTGTTTTGTACCAGAATAAAATAATGACCCTATAATCTTGTATTTCTATAAATACTGATAGAAATAGTACTTTGTACTTAATTAGGAGAATTAGTTATAAGTTAACAAAACAACTTTTTAACTAGTATTACTCGTCTAGGGCTTCAGTGAAGGAAAGACTGCTCCATAAGATGTGATTAATTTGCTTTTGACCTCATAATGAAATGAACACAGCCATATCTGTGCCTGGAAGAAGTGTGTCAAAAGATTTTAAAGAGATATGCATTATTTGAAAGCTATATAGTTTTATTATTTTAAAATAACAACATTACAGTTTTTGCAAAGAGCTGTTAAAACTATTTTGGGGGGTTGGTTTAAAAAGTGTTTTAACCAACTTGGTGTGGCTCAGTGGATTAAGCGCTGGCCTGTGAAATAAAGGGTTGCTGCTTCAAGTCCCGGTCAGGGCACATGCCCAGATTGTGGGCCAGGTTACGGGTTAGGGCCATGCCAGAAGCAACCTATCGACGTTTCTCTCACACATCAGTGTTTCTCTCCTTCTCTTTCTCCCTCCCTTCCCCTCTCTCTGAAAATAAATAAAATCTTTAAAAAATTTTTGGTTTTGCTTTTTGTAAATGAATTTATTCTGTGGATAGGGAAAATACCATCCTTAAAATCTAAATATATGCCCGTGGTACAGGATTCAAGTGATGAAAACATCAATATAAACTCAAATATATGTATATTTATATATACACAGATAATTTTAGATATATACATGTTAATATACATATAGGGAGAGGCCAAAGTAGGTTTATAGTTATAAGTACATGAAAAACAGAGTTTACTCTTGTATTATTATTGTGTTATTTTCTATATGAACAACTGTAAACCTACTTTTGCCCCACCCTGCGTACATTTTATAGCTCTGTTTGCTGGGAGGGTCTAGAAGCAGTGATACCTGGTAGCAAGAAGCACATCCTGTACCTAGATCTTAGTTTCTAAGTTCCATCAGAAACCATTCTCCATTAAAAGGAACCGAAGCGGCTGACTTCAGGGCTGGGAACATACAACATGAGCCTGGAGCAACTTTCCTACTTTCTTGCCAGAAACTATGGAAGTGCTCAAAAATCAAAAGGATGGGCGTGTCAGAGACCCAGGAGCCAACCTGACATACTTCCCAATAGCCAAGCTGGAATGATTTGAGCAAGAAAATAAACATTACCCAGAGTGTAACAGAAGTATACAGAGTCCACAATGATATGAATAACTAACTAAATTGGGGTGGGCCACAAATCTCTGTTACAGAAGAATTCCAAGCACTGCATATAGATACACGCCCCATTCCAGGGGGTGGAACCTAATCTTGCCCACCCTCCACTTCCCATAGACTGGACTTGGGGACTGGCTTCCAGTGCACAAAAGTATGGAAAGGGAAAATAATAACTTTACAGTGCAGATACTTAACAGACAGTTTCTTAACCACGTCAACATCAACTTGATAGTATTCAACTACTCACGTGATTTGATGAGAACCCTTCACCTCAGTGATTTTCTTCCTAAAAATGCATATCCGCAGTCCAATCATGAGGAAAACATCAGACAAACCCAAAATGAGGGACATTCTACAAAACACCTGACCAATACTTTTTATTATCAAGTTTATGAAAAACAAAGGAAGACTGAGGAGCCCTCATAGACCAGAGGTTAAATAGACATGCTAAGTGCAATGTGGTATTCTAGACTGGATCCTGAAAAAGAAAAGTGACATTAGTGGAACAATTAGCACAATCCAAGTAAAGTTGAATTTAATTAATAGTAATTACCAATGTTGGTTTCTTAACAACTGTTTCATGGTTATGTTAAAATGTTAACATTAGAGGTAGGAAACAGAGAGGAAGTCTTTATGTTATTTTTTTGCAATTTTTTTTTTGTAAATCTAAAGTTATTCCCAGATAACAAGTCTTAAAAAACCTGAACATATAAAAAACAGCCTCTACTGATTTTTGTATATAATTTATGATCATGAATTAAATATTTAAAAAGACGTTCTGAGTTTGTCTTCCTGAGGAAGCTAATGCTGCCAAGAAAGTCCATGAATTTATTATAAGTTTCAAGTTATTTGGTCAAGTATTTCAATAGTAAATATTGATAGCGATTAAATATTGATAATGGCTTATAAAACTGGTCCTTTAAAAAAGTCTGAAAAGTATCAATTAAGAGTTCCAAACATTAAGTTCCCAGTTTGTTCACTTAGCCATGAGGTGTGATACACTTGCCTTGTCTACTAGAGGACACATCTCCTAGAACAGATGCCTCCATCTCAGTTTGAGTAGCTATTAGGTTCTCAGCAATAACATATACAGTAAGTCCTCACTTTACACTGTCAATAAGTTCTGCAACTTTAAGTGAAACTTTGTGTAACAAAACCAGTTTTAACCATAGGCTAACTGATATAAACAAGCGTTAAGTTTCTACATCATCTCATCAATGATTTTGGGGACCTGCTGTGTTCAGTTAGGAATGTGGCCTTTTTTCCAGAATGTATTTTTCTTTTTTCTGAATTCTGCCTGTAATGACTTGGGAAAAAAACACTTCTCCTGGTGGTGTATTTCTCTGACTTTCCAAGTAGTTTGTCTTAACAACTTTGGCCACAGGTTCCTCAAAAGATATATATGGCTTGGGATTCTGGGCTCAGGAAAGCCAACAGCCAGTGGTAAGTGAAGAGTAGTTGAGGACCACAACCGAGCTTTCTGAAAAGCTCTCAATACACATTTTCAGAGGCAGTTGAGGTTGTGGGGTTTGCTCTTAAACATCTGTTAGTAGTTTTTCATGTACGTGAGAGGTTTATAAAAGATAGTTCTTTGTATCTTGCTTTGTCATCCCTTTTGACCCCACAGTTAGGACTTAAACTCCCCCCCAACACCAATATCGAGAATAATTTTTATTAAGTCCACCTAATAAAAATATCCCAGAATCTATTATGAGGAGCAAGCTAGGGAATAAACACCAAATCATAACAGAATATAATGCTATGATGCGTATGTTAAACAACTTTTCACTTGTCTCATTAAGCTCATCTTTTCTCCAGTTTAGGCAAAGATTATAGAAAACTACGACATTTGTCATTGGAGTGGTTCATAAAATGGGAGAGGCTGTGCTTCTGAATTTTGTTCACATCACTTTCTAAGCACATTACATAATACCTACGAATCCTGGTTTTGCTCCCTAAGAGGTCACCAGCGAATGGTTCTGATCTTATAAGAGAAGCAGACATGGGAACCTTGTCCTTGTAATTAGTCCTGCATTAACAGAAGTGTGACTTCTTCATATGCTCAATGGGCTACAGAAAAACAATGTATTTTGTATTAATTCAAAGAGAAAAAATAAAGTCAGGTCCTTCCAGGCATAAATGTATATTTAAAATTTTATAGTAAACAAATACACTTCTGAGTGATGATCTCCCCATATTTCCAAATAAGGTAATGTTTAACAGACATTATAATGAATTTTACATTTGACTTCTTTTTTTTTTTTTTGTAAATTAACAAAAAAGGCACTGGTCAAGACAATCTGGCACACTAAGGCAGCGATGTATCCAGGAACATAACCTCCCCCACTTTTTCTTTAGTTTGAAGTGTTTTTTTAGTTTTAATATCAAAATAAGATCTTACAATAATCCTTTCACAAGAATAAGGCAACTTTATGCTGTAAAAACCATTAGTTCTTTGCCAAAGGTTATGTTCTTCCATCCTTATCTGCTGTCACCGCCTGTCAGCATCTTCTTTAAAGATCAGTTTTTTCTTCGTAGTGACACCTACATGCAGCTCGCTGGCTGTCCAGGTACGGTTTACAGCCTAAATGTATAACACTGTCAAACAAGAGCTCCACTGCTGTTTCGCATGCTGCAAAGTAAGAAAAGTGCCATTACTGCGGGGAAATGTCAAAGCATTGCTCTCTCTTCACACATGTTACATGTTCCAGTGCAGCATCAAGCACATCCTTCATTGGCACTTAAACGTATGCTGGTGAAAGTCTTCGCAAACCAGAAACATAAGCAACGCACATAAAGGCTCTTTGCATGCAACAGTTCAACCCAATTTTCTGTACTAGGCAAACAAGTTTCTCTCAATAGGACTGATCGACCAGTTCATCACTGTTACCTTTCCTCTTATCTGAAAGATATCACTGTTAGAGACACCTGATAACACTCTTAAATTTGCATTTCAAGGGAAGATTTTTAGATGTGGAAAAAATAAAGGTTAAAAATAGAGAAACATCAAAACATTTAATTCTGGCCAATGGCTTCTAAGAACTGATCACACATCATTTAAGATGCTTAAAGTAAATGGACCCAAATCTCTTTCTTTGACCAACACCCAAATTTAGCTTGGGATGGGCGATAGGAATCAAAGTGTTTTTCCTCTGGTAGGGCTTAAGAAAAAAAAAATTTAAGGCTATAGAAAAGATAATGGATTTACTTTGGAACACCCGGGTGAGGTTATCTTAATACACTCTATTTAGAGAGAGAGAGAGAGAGCACAGAGCGGCTTTTAGTTGTCCAAATAGTTCCAGTTTCAAATATTCATGTTAAGAGACTTTTCATTACAAAATCATCACATTATCAAAGCTCCCCAAAAGACTGTGCCGTTAAGGAACACAACCAATCACAGAGCTGTAAAGGCCATGATTATTAAATAAAAGATTGCAAGGAATTTGGTTTCATCATTTAGCTATGTTAGTATGACCTCAGATCAGAAAACAGGAAATACATGCCCCTATGTTTCAGCTGTAGAAGTTTACCTTAGCCAAAAGCATGAGAGGGGTTCAGAGGGGGTGAGTTCAAGTTTCACTAGGAGTAGTGATTTCTTCTTTGACAGTTATTAGTAAGGGTTTAGGGTCAGACCTATGAAACTATTTGGGGAATACTGCGGCAGACAGAACACAAGTTTCAGAGTCAGAAGTCTATCAGTTGGAGCAAGTTAGTTCTTTCTGAGCCTCAGTTTCCTTCCTTGAAAAACGGCCCCTACTTCTTTGGACTTTTGTAGACATCAATAAACATGTATCTGAAGTAAGGTAGTCTGTTATGCAAAGTATTTAAAAATGTTTCTTTTTGTGCCCCTTCTCACTGCCTTTCTTCTTGTTTTCAATGTGTGGTACATTCTTTGGCTTGACAGTAAAGAAATCTCATAACTGACAGCAAGTGTGCAATGATGTGCATGTCCACAAATATCTCATTTGACTCTTCTGACTCTCTGAGATGGGTGTCATCATTCTCATTTATAAACGAGATAGCAAAGTGCCTTTTCGCTTTGCTGATTTTTGCGTTGTACCTCTTCACTGTAGTAATCATAACTGTGACTAAGACTATATGCTGAGTCCTGAATCTTCCTAGCAAACCGCTGAACCTGGGGGTTGTCTTGGGGACCCTCAAGACACATACATGTGAAGAGACAGAGTTAAGACTCAAATCTTCTAGAACTTCCTACTCCAAATCCAATGTGCTCTACTTTTAACTCACTGGATCCAGGGTTTCCAAGAACTTGCATGAACTCTTCTCTGCCTCACAAACCCTCCTCCCACAGTTTCCTAATACTTTTTGCTTCCACGATTATAAATCATTTCAGAGTACAAAGTCATTGAGTCCTCATCTCAGAAAACCGAAGAGGCTGTGTTACAATGGGTACTGTAATATAGAGTGTAAGATTTCTACTGGGTAAGTCCTATCCTAAAACATAAAGCATGCAATTAAAACTTGACGAACTGCACTCATCCCCATCCCGCCAGATGATCCTCACCCTGAACATGCTGAGCTAGTCCTAGCGTTTTCTGCACCCCTCGGCAGATCTTGGAGAGGCAGTACTGGAACTCCTCATCACAGTCGTTCTTGCTCTTGCCACAGGTCTCATAGCACCTGTCATGGTGGTTGCAGCACTTTGTCAGGGAAGGGATGCCAATATTAAGCTGAAAGAGGCATTTGGATGGATTACTGTTGAGAGTCACAACTCCTCTGCTGAAGTTCTGCATTCAAATACCAGGGAAAAATCCATGACAACGACTGCTATATAATCACTAAAATCCATTTCTGCCTACGAATGTTTTCCGTCTTATATTTCTCTCCATGACTGTCCTCACTCCCCCCACATTACTCTGTGATCTCCCTCTTGGCCAGGACTTAGAGCTCCCTGGTTGGCAATGGTAGAATATTTACAGTTGCCTGCTGGTAGCAAACACAACTTCCAATTGCCCAAAGCACAAAACATAGTTTTAAAAACAGAAAGGTAAATCTAAGAGCATTTAGAGTTCCCCAGGCGCTGGGCAAGGAGGATTTTTGGATATTCCAAAGTATTTTGTACCTCCTCCTCCAATAAAATGTACTTTATATGAAATGGCATTGAAAATTTTTAAGCTCCTACAACTCAAATTTTGTTTGTTGTTTTGAGGTTTAATCTTTAAGTATTCCTCCACTACCGAAAGATACTGCTCCTTCGCATCTATACTTTATCTTTAACTAATTTAAATAACTTTATATGTAAAACCCATGTGTCTAAGAACCACTCTCATAAACATTTTTCCCCATAATACTGGGCTCAGATCCAGCTTCCCTTACGACAAACACACAGCTATCCTACTCAGCCTAGTTTTAATGTAGAAAATATTATGCCTTAGCTATACTTTTCAGCCTAAGTAGTATTTCTTCTATAATAAATCATATTTGTGGCATGAGGAAATATCAGTTAAATGGTATGAACATCTACAAGGTTAAAAAATAAAATGAATTTTACAACATTTAGTTTTGTTAGGACTTTTTAGGTATAAAAGAATATACCTAATCACTATTACAGCAAGTAAAATTATTTGTGAACCTGAGAACACATTGATATTTTGTATTATCAATAGTATTAAATAGCCTAACAACTGTAAAACTTATTAAATAAAAAATAATATTTACATGAACACCAAATAGTGGAGAACCGCATCCATTCGGCGGGGAAGGTTTATAACCATAACGTGGGAAAGGCTTAGATCCTATAAAATATAAATGTTGTCACAATTAATTTTCAAATATGATAGAAAATACATATGCAAAAAGGTCTACACCTAGACTAGCCTTGGAAATACTTAATATTTGGATGCTGATATAAGTGAATGTCTTTATTCTGATGAGCTTTAAGAATGTTAATTTGTCCACCTTATTCTTTTATTTCTCCTTCAGTGAAATATGTATAAATGTGTACATACACATTTGTGGTCGTGTATAAAATGTATGGCGGTGGTTCATAAAATATAATTATATTTGTAAAACTACACCATATAAAACATACAAAAGCTTATTCTGGACTTCTGGAGATTTCAGAGGTTATATGCCAGATATGTTCCATATGTATGAAAGAAATCCATCTTATTTTCCTGTACATTCTAACACTTACATTTTTAAGTTAAAACCTATAGGGCAAGAGCTGTATTTTCCTATCTTTTAGCCAATGCTCCATTTCACACAAATTTCAATAATGACTAACTAACCAGTTGCTAAGCTGGAGCCTAAAATTAAGGAAGACGTGGCATTAATGACCATTTAATTACAGTAGTCCTTACCCAGTGGATGCCTGAAACTACAGATAATACTGAATCCTATATACGCTACATTTTCCCCTTATGCACACATACCTATGATAAAGTTTAATTTATAAATTATATACAGTAATTATATATAATTTATAAATTTATATAAACATAACTTGTATAAAAATTATAATTGATTTATAAGTGATATATAATTACTGCATATAATTTATAAATTAAGTACATTAACACTTAACAATAACTAACAATAAAGTAGGACAATTATAACAATATGCTGTAATAAAAATTATGTGAATATGGTCTCAAAATACCTTACTGTGCTGTACTCATCCTTCTTGTGATGATGTGAGATGATACGATGCCTATGTGATGAGATGAAGTGAGGTGTTTAGAATGGCGTGTAGTTTAAAACTTATGAATTGTTTATTTCCAGAATTTTCCATTAATATTTTCACACACAGGTTGACTGTGGGTAAATGAAAAGGCATGAAGCAAAACTGCAGATAAGAGGTTCTTCTCTACCTTAATATAAAAGCTTTATACTATTATAAGACCTTACAGGACTACACACGCTAGCCCAGACTCCAGCCAATCATTTCAGAAATACACCCCTTCGACAGCTAAGAGAAAAAGTCAGGAATAAACTTGGTAAGCTACATTATTCCAGCTATACTCTCCCTAATGGCACCAATGGTTCAGTAACAAGGTGAAAGATAATCCATTTTAAATGTTGAAAGGTAGTTAAGAAACATCTCTCTTCAAGTAAAATACAGATCACTCTGACAAATCACTTCCACTGCTACCAGCCTGCTCCAAGCCACCCTAGATTACGGTCATAAGCCCCTAACTAGTCTCCCTCCTTTGGTTCCCCTCCTCATCCCTCCTCCAGGTACAGTCCATTATCAACACTGCACCTAAGTGATTCTATTCAAATATGTCAGACGCAATTTTTCCTCTGCCAAAATCCCACCGATGGCGTCTCATCTTATTCAGAATAAAAGCCTAAGTCCTCTCAGCGTCTATAAGCCCTGTGTAGATCTGCCCCCGACACCTTGACTTCTCTGTCCTCATCTCCTTACTATTCTCTCTCCCCTTCCTCTCTTCCTCACTCCTTCCCATCACATCTGACCTCTGCTGTTGCTCAGATACTCCAGGTGCCACAGTGCCACTGAACCTGCTGTTCCTCTACATGCATGCTCTTCCTCCTGACACCTAGTTACTCCTTCACCTTCTCAGCGAGGGCTTCTCTGTCCACACCGTCTGTAGCGCGCTATGACCTCCTAACATACTATACCACTAACCTACTTACTTCATCTATTATCTGTCGCCAACACTAAAATATAAACTCCTTGAGGGCAGGAATTTCTGTTTTGAACCCCAATGTCTAGGACAGAGCCTGGCACATGGTTAGACTCTCAATCACTATTTGTTGATGAATGAATGAGCCAAAGACTTGGAAGGCTAATCCCCATGCCAATTATAATACTCATTATAAATAGATAAACTGGTGCTATTGTTCATCCTTCAGTCTCTTTTGAGTTTGATGAGCTCAACAGCCTCCAAAAACTGATCAGTCCTGGTTTGTCACATCTTTAAAATGACAAACTGAATACCAAAAAGTACTTGTATTAATACAGCCTGGGACAGTTAGCATATGTTTCAGCTGTAACTAAGTTGGGGGGAAAAACCCCGACCATACCCACTACAGGTGAATAAAGAGAAACAGAGATAGTTCAGAGAAATTTGGCTGGCAAAAATGAGAATGAAGGGGCGAGGATAGAGGAGGTGGTTGTCTCACACAGGACTAGTGGTTAAAACTGCCCTGAGAAGTTAATAAAATGGAAAAATAAAGCACCAAGTTCTAGAGTATGTGAAACATTGGGCATTAACACTATGAAGTAAATGGTGGTAAACTGGCTCCCCAGATGTAGCAAAGAAGTGTGTGTTTGTTTTTGTTTCTTTTGAAGAAAACTGCTAATGTCACTCCCTCAGAGAGGCTTTCCCTGCTCACTCCATCTAAAATAGCACTCTTTCCCTTCCATGTCCATTCCAAACATCTTGTTGGTTTTATTCCAACATTTATTGACCTTAAAATTAACATAGTCAGTTCCTATGAGGACAGGAGCTTTGCCTTGCTCACTTAGAAGATACACAGAGTGGGCACCCAAGAAATTACTGGATGAAAAAAATGGGAAACACTTCTTGCTGAAACTAAATATTCTTTATCCACAGCAAAAGCAAATAAACAACAACAGCTCTCTTCACCAAAAACTGGAAATTAGTTTCCTGAAATGTTTTAAAGTGTTCTGCTGTTCTAAATTCACCTTTAAATTAAAATAACTGTTTCTGAACCAAACAAGTCATATAGAAAGTTCTTTATTAAACATTAAGTTGATATGGACACCAGAATTACAAATGTATTAATATAACTTAAAATCTTTTATGAGTGGTGTTATAAGCAGCTGAACATTAAAAAAAAATTAACAGTTCTACTGGTGGTGGTGAAGTGCTGTGTGAACTGCACTGTGTACCACCCTCCCCCTCAATTCCTTTGTTGAAGCCATAACCCCCTAATGTATCTGGTAATGGAGCTTTTGGGAGGAAACTAGGTTTAGATGAGGTCACAAGAGTGAGTCCCACCTGATGGGATTAGTACCCTTGTAAGAAGAGACACCAGAGAACGTGTTTCCCGTTCAAACCCTGCCAACCTCCACGCAGTAAGGCTGCAAGTCAGGAACATACAACAGTGTTGGCCAAATCTTTTTTTTCCCCCTTTGCCCTCGTCCACCCATCCCACCCAACCCCCCGCTCTCACAGTCATTCCCACTCTGTTGCCCATGTCCATGGGTCATTCATACATGTTCTTTGTCTAGTCCCTTCTCCTTCTTTCTACCATTGTCCTCCTTCCCCATCCTCTCTGGTCACTTTCCGTCTGCTCCATGTTTCCTTGCCTGTGGTTTATTTGGTTCGTTAGTTTATTTTGTTGAATAGATTCCACTTACAGGTGATCATACGGTATTTGTCTTTCACCAACTGGCTTACTTCACGTAGCATAATATTCTCCAGTTCCATTCATGTTGTCAGAAGAGGTAGGAGTTCCTTCTTTCTTTCTTTTTTTTAAAATGCAGATTGATTTTATTTTTTAAATGTCAAAATCCATTATAAAATATTAAAAAATTTAAATCCATTATAAAGTCTCAGCAATTAAAACAACATGACACCAGCACAGAAATAATCAAGTAGATCAATGAAATAAAATGAGCATTATAGAAACAAATGTATATATCTGTCTAACAATGTAATATATGATTCAATTGATATTTCAAATCAATGGGGAAAATAGGCTTATTCAACAAATAAGGTGTATGGACCAATGTTACTTGAAATAAAACAAGTGTTGAGCCCTATTTCCCACATTATACAAAAAATATTCAGGTGAGTTAAAAAAATCAATATGTAAATTCTAGGGAGTTTTAGGAGAAAATACAAACTAATATTCTTCTTACCCTGAAGTAAAATATTCAAACCCAGAGGCTATATAGTAAAATATTGACAATATGACTATATTAAACATCTAAATATATATATACACATAAATATATAAAAGTTAAAGGACAAGTAATAGAAATAGAATAGGAAAGTATCTGCAACACATCTAAAAAAGTTAATTTTTTTTTTAGGGAAAAAATTCTACAAACAGTCAAAAAATGGATAAAGAATACCAAAAAGTCATCTAAAGCTTTTTAAGAATAATAGAAATAGGCAACAAATATACAAAAACAGGTTTAGTTTAAAAAAATAATAAAGTAATAATTAAAATAACATCACTGTCACAAGCAGATTAATAAGTATTAAAAATATTGGTAATATCAAGTATTGGTGACTGGGAAGAGTCTATGAATACCCAGTCAAAGGAAACTGGGTATTCATAGACTCTTTTTCTTCATCTTCTTAAAGCAGTCCCTTTAGCATATTTTGCAATGCTGGTTTGGTAAAGCCTTCTGGTAACCTTCTGGTAGAGCCAATGCTGGTAAAGAAGCCTTTAGCCTTCTTTCATCTGAGAGCTCTTTATTTCATCTTCCATTTTAATTGAGAACTTTGCTGGGTAGAGCAGTCTTGGTTGCAGGCCTTTGCTTTTCATGACTTGGAATATTTCTTGCCATTCCTTTCTGGCTTGCAGGGTTCCCGTTGAGAAGTCAGCTGCTAGCCATATCAGGGCTTCCTTATATGTTACTACCTGTTTCTCCCTTGCTGCCTTTAGAATTCTCTGTTTGTCTTTGATATTTGCCATTTTAATGATGATATGTCTTGGAGTGGGCCTCATTGGGTTCCTCTTGAATGGGGCCCTCTGTGCTTCCTGGACTTATGTGACTTCTTCTCTCCTCAAATTAGGGAAGTTTTCCATCATTACTTTTTCAAACAGGTTCTCTAGCCCTTGCTCCTCT